TATTCTGTTGATTACTAACCATAGGAAGATGATCTGTGTTGATTCTGTAATGATTTTATATTGGTGAAAAAATGACTTTAACATGGAGAAATTTTTAGATATGGATTTGATGCCTTGGATCAACTTTCAAGAGCCATTCTATACATCACTCAGTACATTTCCTTAATGTACATCATTTATTAAAAACTAATCATTGATACATTTCAATCAAAACAGCAGACTTCTTTTCTCGTAGTTTGTGGCTGACCCTCTGATAGAGGTACGTGCTGGATACTGTGGACACACAGAGAAGCTAGTTCTGTAAAGGAGAAGAGATAGAGCGTGGAAATTAGACCTTCTCAAAGTAGTGGCAGAACTGGATTTTTACAGATAGGTAGGATTTAGACTGAGTGGGGTGGACATTCAGGCAACAATAGCAGGGAGAAGATAGGACCCTGTTCATGGAGACATGATGAGAAAACTAGGCAGAGGCCGGGACAAGATGGAACTTTCATGCAAAACGAATTGACCAGCAACTTCTTATATGTTAAGTCCTCACAATTCTAACAATTCAGTTATCAACGATAGTCGTATGAAGGTCTGGGGAAAATCAGCACGTGCTGGAGAAAGCTTTATAGGGCCGAGCCAAAGCGAAATAATCTGCAAAGAAGTCGGGGTCCATTCCTCGTTTTGGCACCAAGCTATGGGCTAAAACATATGACTTAAAGTGTGAAACATAATCCTGCTTATCAGTTAAGGCTCTTTTTAAAAAGAGATGTTGAGTTTGAATGAACACATATTTCCAAGCTCGGATAAGGTCCTGTAGCTCCAGGGTCTAAATAAGTGACCCATTCTTGATTTAGGCTTTGTATTAGAGGTAGAATTCCATCCTTCATTCACAATTACTTTATTTGGTTCACATGAGATTTTTCTGATCTTTGAATTGCCATATGCAATTCAATTTGGCCATGATTGCCAATTTCATAATATAAAAAAAATGGTAGGAAAATCTGTAGAAGGATTTAAAAATCCAGTCTAACATTTGAGAGGGTTTCATTATCCTACATCCTTTACTGAAAAGTTTTGTAATGGAGTTGTAAATCTGGCCAGTTTGATCTGCTTTGAAATAATCCAGTTATGAATTCTTTTCATGCTGACTGGTTCATATAATGAATTGAATCTGTTAATGTACCATACTACAGAGTAGAGTAATACAATTCCTCTATTTGGAGCTTGAGTGATCCTCAGTCTTAAATATCATTAATTCTTGGAGTGTGAAAGGTTTATTGTGCATTGACAGTTACCGTATCCGCAGTGATCTTCCTCATTCCGCCACCCGTCTTCCCTCCTGATCAGAAGTGTAACCAGCCCTACACAGAGATACAGTGCTGCCCAAGTACAGCAGATGGGACTAGTGAATTGACTTAAGGAAAGTGTTTTCTATGGTGCTTGTGAGTATCCTTTGTCAGATATGTCCCCCAAATTGTTACTATATCAATTGTCACCATTTGCTTGACTGCCAGTTATTTAAAGATAGCATTTGCTCGTGAAAAATATCAGCTCTTGTTATGACTGCTTTCCTTGAATATACACTATTTAACTTGTCATTACTGTTTCTTTTTTTTTTAATAGGGAAAAAAACTTTCATGTTGCTGTTACCACAACTACTAATGGCATTCAAACTTGAGTTGAACAAGCACATTCTATGTGGTCCTAATTATAGGGCACGTACTATTTTATATTGCTCTTTTTTTGCTGCTGTGTGGCTTTAATTTTTTTAGTTATTATATAATATTCCATTGTGATATGTTATAATTTAATTGAATACTTCTCTTTTGGACATTGAAATTGCTTCCACTGTTTCACTATAATAAGACTACAATGAATATCTTCGTGCCTTTCTCATTTCTGGAATATTGCTTTAGGGCAAATTCTTAGGAATGGGATTCCTTTCTATTCCCTTCAGAGGTATACTCTAATATATCACTCGCTTTTTGACCCTTTTGGAGAATTATATCTCTGCTCTTCTGAACAGCAAGGTAGATGGAAATTGATATTTACATTTAGGGGAATACAGTAATTCATGCCCGACTCCTGACTTTTCTGTTGATTATTAGTCTAGTTAATTTCTTTATGTGTATACATAAGCTCTATCACTTCAAAAGTCTCTATTTGCTCATTCTCGTTACCACATTTACTGAAATGCATGTTGGCATTTCACATTTCACATCATAGATGGCGGGTATATGTTCTGCATTTTCTCACATAGAAAATGGAAATAAGTTGGCTAAAATGATATGATCTTCTATAACTGTTCTTATGTCAGATATTGGAGTCTTATTCATAACCAGATTTTCCTGGCAAAGAATATTTTGCCTACCTTTTATTAGCTTTCCAGAATGATCGTTTGTGTCTTAGCTTAAGAACACATATGGCACGTATAATAAAATACATCATGGGTCTGAGTGACTTTGGAAGTCACTCCCTTAATTGGGATGACTTCAGCCTTATCACCAAAGTACAGTTAGTGACCCTTCTTTCTGATTAAGAGTGACAGGAATCTCCCCTTTTCCTTAAATAACTTTTTTCCTTTTTAAAGAAAAGAATATTAATGTTCTAATGACATTTTGGTCTTTTATCTTCTTGGTCAAGAGCAGTTACTGAGGGCAGTGGTTTTATATGAGGACAAATCATTTAATATTCATAAGTACCAGAATAGATCTTCCATAGCTGCCTTACTAAAAACCCAAAGGTATGATGTCTTTATAAAATGATTGTAGGCCATGACCTTCAAACTTTAGAATTCTAAAAAAAATGACAGCACAGAGGACAGTTTTTAGTGTTCATAAGGGGCCATCGAAATGGATAACGCTGAGTCATCTAATGGATTTCTGAAAGCATAGTGTGCTTTAGATACTGCTAAATCAATAAACATCACAGTCACTTAAGTATGTATATTATATAATAGTTGGTTAATTATATTATAACTCAAATCGTTTTAGAATATTTGTCTTTCAAGTGGAATGCTAAAAATATAACTGAAGTATTTATAAAAATAGAATTGTCAGAAAAATGCACAAGTATAGTTTTTTCAGCTAATCATGGTATGTGGAGTTAGCTACAGATTGTCATACACATTATTTTATGAACCATGAAATACCATATTTCAGAAGCACTTATATTTGAGATTGATAATAAAAATAAATAGCTGGGTTTAATGTTACTAAGTTCTTCGATTTTAAGTTACTGGTTTTTTTTTTTTATGTTCTTCGATTCTTGAGTCCAATAAAAATCCGTATTGAATTTTTTAGTAGGTGCTTCATGTAAGTAGATGATCAATGTACCATAGGTAAAAATGTGTGTGGAAACACAAGCATTTTATATCAAAGAGTTGTGTTGGAAAGCTTTTTTAAAAATGCAACAATTTCTTATTTGCTTAGATGTTCATAACCAGGAAGGGATCAAAATTAAAACTGTGATTTTTCTTTACAACATTGAAATATATCTCAATCGTTGGTTGTTGATCATAATGGTGGAAGCTGGTTGCTGATTTTTGGGGGGAGATCTTTAAAAAGAAGACAGTCTCGTTTCCTTGGGTATGGTCACAGCTTCAAGATAGATGATTGCCCTTGAAAAGTGATAATTTTTTAAGGAACTCAAGTTATTTTATCTACTGCCATGTAAAAAATAAAAGGGTAATTTGTGTTCGATGAATCCAGACAAAAGGTAAGAAAATACAGTTTTTATGACTTGATAGTGAAGGACAGTTAATCATTATTTGATCTGTTGTCTTAAAAACTGAGTAAAAATGGCCTGAGTTTTGTTTTTAATTCTACAACTTGCACTATAGCTTTACCCAGTGATACCTGCAGTGTTGACATTGCTCTGGAAGTTTTTATTTCATTGGGCTAACACTTCTTAAGGGCAAAATTTGAGGTTAAAAAGTATTTCGCAGGTTTATGAGAGAAATCAAGTGAACTATGACCCTGTAAAAGGTCAATGCCAACAACTTAACAGAATTTTCTTTGCTTTTATTCCAAACTCTGACTTCCTGGTCTACGGGAAACTGGCCATCTCTGGCACCTGATAGTCTGTTATATGTGCTTGCTCTTAGAGTACCCTCCTTAATTTGTTGGTTATAATTGTCTCTGTAGTTACAATTGTCTGTTTATTTTAACTTAGCCAAATTTATGTGTATAAACTCCTTGCACAATAAATTTAGTTTGATTCTTTATCTTGATGGCTTGTTCCTTTCTTTGTTGATTGAGGATTTAGTGGGTTTTTTTATTCCCCCAGCTGCTGAAATCTAGAGGAGGCTTCCTGATTATTGTATATTTTGGCAAGAAAGTAGTGGTAGTTCCTCTATCAATATGTCACCAATTGAAATAATGGATTAACAGTAGTAAGAATGGAGTGTTCTTCAAAATCAAAGACAATAATCAATCATTTTTTAGCAGGTATATTAGAGTCTGAAGATAAAAACTTTTGCTGTTGTTATTGGCAATTTACCTGGTAATAGGAGTTAGAGATTTATAACTCTAGAGCATTTAATAAAGATTTATACCTCCACTTTCTAAAATACGCGAATTTCTGACTTCCACAGATGTTATTGATCTGCCGTCGATAGGAAATATGATGTGCTTGGGGTCACTATAACTATTTTTAAGATTTGGGTTCTTTCAGTTAGGTCTAATCTCATGTTTGATAGGAGCATTAGCAGAACTCTGATCCAGGGGGAAAGTTTCCATCAGCAAATACCTGGCTTTACAGCACATTTTCATATTTGGTTGCAATTAAAATTTTTGATGTGGACTATTTTTAGATACCATGGGATAGATTTGCTTCCATAATGAAGGCAATGGTGAAAGCAAAACATACCAACTTCTTTGTTGTTTCTTTCCTTAGATTTTAACATTTGAGACCAAGAACCCAACGGAGTTAGCAGAACGTTTGCGTTCCGTTTGCGGGAATCAGAGCAATGCCTATGCCCGCCTGCTAGAGTACCGCCTGAATGCCTTGCGAGGACTGTGGAACGCTCAGCGCCAGCTGGCCTTGGAAGAGCAGCATGAAAGGGAAAGTTCGGGTGATGAAGAAACTTTGGCCCTTCTCAAACGCCAAGGCTTGTTGCAGCAGCCCGAGCAGGCTCCCTTCACATCACGGATGGGGCTCCTGCTGGTCTTCCCCCTCATTCAGTCCCAGAGTAGAACAGACCCCTCTCTCTGTAACATAACTGCTGAGGTGCTATTGAACTGCCTTCGTGACTGCCAGCCTTTGAGCTTGACCAAGGAGCCTGCTGACTGTCTCAATGGGATTGAAACTTTGCTGTGCTCGTGGCTAGAGGAGACTTCTGACACAGGCCGACACATCCCACATAAGCAAAAAGAAAATGCTGCTGCTGCCCTGGTGGCTTTGGCATGTGCCAGGTAAGGAAAATCAAATGTACCACTTGGTGACCTTGGGACTGCCGCTGCTTGGGTTGGGTGAGTGAATAAGAGGACAAGCATATTTGATGGGAGTCTTAACATTCAGAAGGCCTTCTTTGTTTTCAGTATTGAATTTCACAGCCTTGACAGTACATAAGATGCTTTCATTGAAACTTGGCACCAGCAGCCAGAGCTGGAACCCAAGTTCAAGTTTTCGCTTTCTGCTATACCGTGGTAACAGCTTAAATAGCTTAAAATGGAGAATCGACCCTTGCCATTATCTACTCACCCCTTAGATGATTAGTGTTTTACATCAGGTAATTCGTGGAGAGTGGTCTATCTGTATTTCTTCTGGAAGGACAGTTAAAAATTTGTAGAGCTTTTCATTTTTTCCCTGCATGTTTATAAGGAGTACATCAGCGAGTGGGTTATTACTCGCCTGGACTCAGTCACACAGACTTGGTCACAAATTATATTTTTGGACCCTGATGCTCCATCAGTTTAGTTGGAGTATCTCTTTGTGTATATCAAGATTTAACAGCGTACCGGCTTTTGTGTGTAAGTCGATGTTATTGATCCGCTGTCGATAGGAAATGTGATGTGCTTGGAGTCGCTATTCCAGGAGAGGATTCCCACGTCCTCCTGCCCAGTAACCTGTGTGATCACTGGCACACACTTGCGAGAAAAGAGGTTCACTATTCTTGCTTTCCTCTAAACTGGTCGTTGAGAGACAAATTAGGACCATGGTCTGACAGATTAGTGACACTAATCTGTCCTTCTTCCTTCAGAATGTTTTCTTTGATCAGGTTCCTTTTCTTCCTCCTCTTCCTCCTCCTCTTAGCAAAGCTTTTGTGGGGAAATTTTCTTGGAGGATTATGAAGTTGTTGGCTTCTTCCCCTGTTTTTATGGTTTCAAAGTTGACCTTCAAGTGGATGAATCTAAAGCTATCTTTAAGGCAGAATGGCACCAATATTTGTCAGTTCCTTTGTCCTGGGCAAACTGTCATAGCCTAGTCTTAGTCCCTGAAGATTGTGGAAATCCTGACATGAGCTTAATTTTGGAGACATTACTGGGTGGAATTGAAATAGGTTTTCCTGTAAAAGCTTTATATTAGATTGACTTATTTTTTGCATATGCAAAAGATAATTTCGAGCCTTAAATAGATTTGTTATTAATTTATAAGTCCCATTTTGAGAAAATTTACTTTTTACTTTTAGATAGGACTATCTTTAGACAGATTTAGGATTTTTTGAAATCATCAACTTTTTGGTTTCAAAAATTTTAAATATTGAACGTGGGATCATAACTCACTTTTTAATATGTGTCCAAATTCAGTCTGAACCACAGGTAGTTATTGAAATTGCTTCATGTATTGAGATTCCAAATTCCATTCAGCAGAAATGGTGAAATGAAATCTTTATTTTCTTCTTTTTTTGTTCTTAAGATGGTTCCTATATTCTATCGCTGATATTGACACCTTATTCTGGATTTTGTTTACTTCAAAAGTCCCATGCTTTTCAGTGTTAGATCAGCTCCTGATAACTTCACTAAGAAGTTATTAGGGTCATATTATTGACCTTTTGACATTGATGCTCTCAAAGACAAAACAGTTTTCCTAAAAAATTATTTCGAAGATGTTCATTCACTCAGCTAACATTGATTGAGCATCTCTGATGTGCCAGGAACCTTGCTAGGTCTTAGGGATATAGTGGCTCATGGTCTCTAACCTTACAGTTGAACGGACTCAGTAACGGACTTCATTTTGTCAGTAATTATTGCTCACTTACCATGTGCAAGGCACTCATCTAAGCAGTGGGGATACAACAGTGAGCAAGGTGAGTGGTCCCTAAAATTGCAAAGTTTACACGAGAGTGAAAGGGGCAGACAACTAGCAACAAACAGATGTATAAGATAATTTCAGGGAGGGATAGTCACCGTATGAAGACAAACCAGGATACTTTGATAAAGAATGACTAAGTGAGGTGGGGGACAGCATTAGAGATACCAGGGAAGGACTTGCTGGAAAGGTGACCTTTGACCTGAGGCCTGGATCATGAGAAAGATGCAGGCATGCAAAAAGCCAGTAACAGTTTCAGGCAAGAGGAGCAGCAAGTGGCACGACTCTGATGCTCTTTCTGTGCTTGGGGTGGCTGAGCGCAGCAGAGTGAGCAGGGTAGCTGGCATGCAGTGGTAAAGGAGAGAGGCAGGAGGTGAGGTTGGCAGTGCCCAGATCATGTAGGGGCTTAATTGCCATGGAAGGCATTTAAATTTTACTCTTAGAATCTGATTGATTCTGGCAGGTAATAATACCTTAGAGTTGGTTTAATGGTTTTAAATGTTCCATTGTGTTTTTGCCCTTTTACTTATTTATTTTTTTTACCTCACTCTACCCCAGGGAGGTATCCCTGTTGGACAGATGAAGAAGCAAAAATCCGTAGGAATTAGGAGACAGGACTGAAATGGTGCTGCTGCTGAGTGGCAGAGCCAGGTTTCAGAGCCAGTGTGTCCTGACTCCCCACTTGTGCTTTTATGCTCTATCTGCTGCCTCCCTACCTTATACTGTTCTTTGGTCTTGATTCTTTGAACACCAGAGATAGTGAAGGGGGCAGTTAATTGGAGGACGCTAGGTCTGCTTGGCCCAGCATTAGGTATTCCATTTCTTTTGGGGTTTAGGCATGTGATACCTAGCAATTAAAGCCTTGGCTACGACAAAAAGGCAGCAATCCGAAGTCAGCCCATCTGATACAGGCGATCATTTAGTTCAGGAAATGTTCTTGTGGTGATTTATGCTTGGGATCTGGCCAGGTAAGTCTTGTGTGTTTTAAAAGCACCTTCTTTTAGATCCTTCTGACCATATCACAGACTTCCCAGAGCCTCGGGCCTTGGGAACCAAAAGGAAACTGAGTAGTGGTGAGTTCTGCGAGTATTATAATCACAGATTTCACAGCGGGGGGCAAGTAGAAGGAACACCTCTCAGCACAACGTGTTAATTATTTGAACGTATCCCTTTTCAGTCACATTCAATGTGATAGGGTTCATAGAGAAGTTATGTAAAATAGATGAACTTAACAAAGACATTAAAGGATTAATCCTGGAAGTACTGTTAGACTTTAAATATAACCTCTTCCTATGAAATCTCTCCTCTGGTCTAGAGACTGACTTATGATGAAAACAGTTTCCAAGCATAATAGTCACATGTTCTTTGTACTGGAGAACCTTATTTATGAGCTTTTGAGTTAGGGGAAAATTATTTACCTTTACAAATGCAACAAGAGCATATGATTGACATGGTGCCACACACATAGTAACTTTATGAGCCAGTGGCCATAAGCAAGAATCAAGTATATTTCGTACAACATATGTTTTGATTGGCAAAAGCAGATAGAAATGTTTTGGACCCTTCTCACGTGGTTAATAAAATTACCATTAACAACCTTATTATTTGACTTCTCCCTTCTGATGATTTTCTGTCCTCTCCTTTTATTTTTAGAGGATCACTGAAAACTTTTGTCCATACAGTTCACCTACTACAGAAACAGACCGATCTGGGGTCCCTGCCTGTAGCCGATGTACTGTATAGGTGAGTTGTCACTTTGGATCCATATCCTCCTACACGAGAGACATTGTGCATTAGGTCTCTTTTAATAAGTTCATTGCTGAACTTTTATCAACTCATGATTCATGTTTTTAAGTGTATTATCATCTTAGAATTTATCTTAAGCATTTTTTCTCATCTTTGCTTCTTTGAATGTATTCCTAGAGCATGTTATTTTTCACCTTTTATTTTTGTTATTTTTTAAAAATGCAATAGCTTGTAATGAATTCTTATTGTAGATTTTGAGATGATAATATATTGTGTAAAGAAGAAAATGAAAATCATTCATAATCTCATCACCCAAAGATAACCACTCCTGTTGCTTTGCTATATGTGCTTCCCAGTTCGTACATCTTCTATACCTACCTACCCCCCCACATGCACATGCATGTGTAAATAAAATACATGCATCTTACACAAAGCTGCCATTTTGTTATTACATTTTAACTTTTAAGTTTAAAAGTATATCGTGAATATCTTTTCAGATGTATAATATCTGTATAAAACTATTTTAGTTTTCTGCTATTTGAGATTGTAGCTAAACTTTTATGTTCTCACCGAAATAAAGAGTCTCAGTGTCTTTATGCTTCTCCATTTCTCCTTTTTAGGCTGTTGCTTTTGGAAGGGGGGCCTGGGTCCCCATCCTGTTTGCTTGGTGGCAAACACATAGTATCATGGGGCTATGAGGACATGTTGCCTGCACCAGATAGCAACACTGGCTCCAGTTCTGAAAATAAAGGTAATATAAGGGTTTTAGTCCTGTGATTGAAATTAAGATGTGAAAAGAATGGTTTTAGATCATTGTGGCAAACGATTTAGATATAACCCCGTGTTCCTTTTAATTAAGAGCCCGAGGTTCCTATACAGTGTGTTCATTGTCTGCTTTATCAAAGTACAAAAGCTGATACTCAGTGAGGTAAGAAAATGGATAGGTTTTACTATCGCAAGGTAAAGGTATCATCCATACACTTCTGCCAAAAAGGCATGAATTACTTTACTTGGTTCCTAGGTATTTGAGTTTGGGCGTGGGAGCCTTAAGTTGAATTTTTATGTTCATGATAGAGTATCAGGTCTTTCTGCCTGATATTGTTTCTTTTAGTAATTTATCATGTGTGTTGATGAACCCCCTCCTATTGCAAAAATTAAAAAAAAAATGAGATTGTTTGAGGGAACATGGAATGTTAAGTATCTCCTTTAAACAAAGCAGGCTGGATTAAATGTTTTTATAGTTTCACAAATATTACATATCCGTTTATTCTGTGATCTCGACAGAAATGGCAGAAGCGCCCTTAATTGACATCCACTTAAGTGACTTGCTAGATGGATTTGGCCCCTCTGGTCACTTGTACTGTCGGGCGCCCTGATACACCATCACACTGCTCTCACCTGTGGAGTTGCAGGCTTGCCGAGAGTCCACCTTGCTCCGCTCCCAGACCTGTTTGTTAATTGCAATTAGTACTTGTTATTAGATCATTAAATATTACATGACTGATGAAATAGAAATTTTAAAAACTCCAGGAAATTGTTTTCATTAAAAAAAAAAATAGAATGTTTAGAAAGATTCACCAAGTGAATCTCTCAGAAATTGGTGTTAAAAAGATTACCCGCTTTAATTGTTTTTTGAGGAACCAATATGTAAAATTACAATTGTCTCGAATTAGTATACGAATTTTTAAGATAACAACATACTCAGTACTGTGACATTGGATTTCCCCTAATATGACAGGTAGTAGATGAACTCCACTTAAACATAGTGAGTAGACTGATTATGAAAATAAAAGAAATAAAAGTTTTAGTTATAAACTCTTTTTAAGGCAAATTCTTTAAGTTAGTAAACCATTTACTATCATATAGAGAGATACTGTTTATTTTAGCTTGGGGAAGATAGAGCTAAGGGGAAACGTAATTGCTGTTTTTAATTATACTTTTGTGTTGTGTCGCTTTAGAAATTAAAATTAAGATCTCCGGATGGAAAATCCGCAGAAGCAGATTTTAGTTTAATGTATATCATTAGTATGTCAACATAATGTCATTTGCCACTTATGGAGCAGTGGCTTTGGACCAGAGTGAAGATGGGTGTTTCTGGTCACCTCATTCAACCTTCACTAAATTATCTAATTTAATCATCACAGTAACTCTTGAGGTACATGTTCTCATTTTATAGATGAAAAAACTGAAGTTCGAAGAGGCCCAAGGTCAACTGATAAGTGCCCAAAGCTCTTAAAAGCTCATGCCATTTTTACTATAAAATCATTAGTGACAGTATCTTAGTCATTTCAGATTAAAATTAGGAATGTGTAAATTTGACTGTTTTTGCTATTCAAAACAACAACAACAACAACAAACATTTGGTAGGCTGAACCAGGTCATCCTGCTAATGACTTTCTAAACTTTCTCGATCTTGGTCCCTGACCCCAGATGCATTTTGGACATTTGCTGTGGTGTTTGACCCGTCTTCCCTGAAATTCACATTGAAGCACTTATTTTAGTAGTAGGAGATTATCTTTCTGACAACCTCCTAATGGCTTTTTCATTAGAAAAAAACACATTTACAATTTCATTAGAAAAAGCATGTATATAATTTACCTATAAAAAATGATTTCAGATGCGGATTTGGGACGCTGTCTCACGGCGGACGGTCTGTACCTGTATACTACAAATTCGGTTGGACGAGGAGTGAGCAAACTGGGGTCTGGATTACACGGTACTCTCAGGTCAGCCGCATAGAATTTGGGAATGATTCTCCTGGAACGTGTCCCTTTTCACATAAATCTCTGTGAAGACACCTGAGGGGAGGGGTGCATGCTGACTCCCCATAGGCTGACTAGTAGCTGAATAGTAGCTAAATAAGTCTGAACAAGTTCATGTGATTCTGGTCTTCTCTCATCATCTGCGACCCCTCTTGTTCTGTTAGTGCCTTTCAGCTTTGTTTTGACTCTAAAGAGTTTGGTAGTCCTATAAGATCATTGTTTTAACCAGAAATTATTCTATGAACAAAATTTCTACAATATTAATTTCTTCTCCATGTTGATAAATGGACATTTTTCTAGTTAAGTCTTTTTTGAACTTGCATCCAAGATTGGATTAGCAGTGATTTTCAGTTGCAATGTAAGGTCTATGAATTGCTGCTCAAAGAAACCACAGTTTGAGTCTACGGCCATGCCACCCTGAACAAGCCCAATCCCGTCTGTTCTCAGAAGCTAAGCAGGGTTGGGCTTGGTTAGTATTTGGATGGGAGACCACCTAGAAAGACCAGGTGCTGTAGGTGTAAAAAATAAAAAATAAGGGATTGTAAACTGACCAAAAAAGAAACCACAGTTTGAGATAAATATCTCCTAGAGTTATTTAGTTATAGAGTTATAAGCCTGGGAATTATATATATGGATATATATATGGATCCATATATATATGGATCTAGTTACATATGTATGTATATGTAACTAGACCTTTTCCCAAACTTTCTCCCCTCTCCAATTTATGGTGGAAAATTAATATTCGCCCCAGTTTGCCAGTCCCAAAGTTAATGTAATTAATATAGTCACTCTCCTTCAGATTGTTTGCATACTTAGTCATTTAAAAAGTTAGGTGGAAAATGTTGTTTACGCCTGTTGTAACTCACTGTGGGGTTTCAGACACAACCAGCTCATGTTCCTTTGTTTTCCCACAGGGGTTTTGTGTACTGCCGGAACGAGGACCTGGAACCAGGCTGGGTCGCTTTCGGCAGCGGCTGTCTTCTCCACCGGCCTGTGTCTTTTGATAATAAACCTCACTCCCTCTTCCAGGTCGTCGAACAGAATACCCTTCAGGTAAACAGATAATTGAAGCGCAGTCTCTGTATTTTGGGGACAGTAAGGGAAGTTCCCGACAGTAATAACGAAGCTAATAGTTTCCTGCCAGAGTGGCATCTTTTTGTCATCATTTGAGTATTCTGTTTTTTTCTTTACTATCTTGGAGTTTTCCCATGTGGTTTGAGTGTGTTCTCTGAGAGTTTCTAAGGCCAACAACAACTTTTTTTATGATTGAAAAAAATTCTAGAGTCAAAGGTTGTATAAATATTAGATTTTTTATACATATATGAAACAGATCTATTTTGGGAAGCCATCATTTTCCTATTCAATTTGTTCTAAACAGCCTTTCTATGGGAACAGGAGCTTTGAAACGAGTGGAGATAAAATCTTCATGTTAGGGATCAGGTGCGCATCTTTACAGCTCTCGTGCATGTGCTGCATTGTGCTGAAGTTACGGGCTCTTGTGTCTAAGTCCTCCCCCAGGGCTGCACGCCTCGATGTCTGGACCCTGTCTTATTCATCTTTGTGTCCCTAGAAGGCAGTACAGTGCCTAGCATTTGATTGATGGTGATAACAACAACAGTGGCAGCAGCTACCACGGGCCAGTGTTTCTCTCTGTGCCAGGCTCTGGTCTAGGCAATTTACATATACTTCCTTTGCCACCTGTGAGGTTTAGCTATGGCAGTTGCATCTTACAGATGAGGCAACTGAAGCTAGGCACATTGTAAGCAGTCAGTAGGTGTTTATTGTTGAATGAAGGACTGTCACTCAGAGGTTAAGTAACTTACTAAAGGCCACACAATAATGGCAGGCTAAGAACATGGTTCTCGGCTCTAGCTTTTGAGCTCCTTACGCTACAGCTTTCTCCTTTCAACCAAAGTTGAACTGAATGATGGGAGTTACTGTCTGTGGAGTGAGTGCCTGACAGTAGTCACAGCCAGGACCTAACTGAGAGGTTACATCTCTTTTTGTTTGTCATTCAACTGTGTCTTTCCTGGGACTGAGTCTTGTTTGCCACTGTATCTCCAAAGCACATAGTTAATGCTCACTAATTGTTAGGCGGGGAAAATGAACAGGTTAACAAATAGATGCCCATCTGACTTCATTTTTCTAATGCAGACAGATTCCCAGGCTTGTAACTATTTCAAATAAATACAGGAGATATTTATAGGAGATATTTATTTGAAATAGAGTTATAAGCCTGGGAATTAAACAGATGTTAAATTTTGGAACATGGTTTACATTTGAAGCATGTCAGTTTCCTCTGTGCTGTTGCAAAAGCTTCGATGTTGTCCAAGAAAGCAGTCTTGTCACTAACTAGGTATGTGCATTAGAGCAGCAGTCCCCAACCTTTCTGGCATCAGGGACCGGTGCTCCTGTGAGAATCGAATGCCTGATGATCTGAGGTGGAGCTGAGGCGGTGATGCTAGTGCTGGGGAGCGGCTGCAAATACAGATGAAGCTTCGCTCGCTTGCCTGCTGCTCACCTCCTGCTATGCGGCCCAGTTCCTAACAGGCCACAGACTGGTACCAGTCCACAGCCAGGGGCTTGGGGACTCCTGCATTAGAGCAATTTGGGGGCCAATCGGTAGCTGTCAAATTTCTAAATTTCCTGGCACTACAAGTTCAAAGTGTGATTACAAACAACTAGGTAACTTTTTAACTTTTGAGGTAGACAAAACAAGCGTGGAAAAAAGTTCATATGAAATGAGTTCAGGGGTCAAAAGTAACCTTAGGAAAACTGGTGACTCACCCACAGAGGTGGAGTAACTGAAAATCCCCGAGGGATCCGACCTTCTCTAATTATTTTTATTCTGGGATTTTCAGTTCTCCTACTCTTGGATTTTTTAAAAAACCAAGTCAGTAGTTTTATTGATTCTCATTTTTTTCCCCTCATTTTAAGTGCTTTTCTGCTCCAGTAAAAAGTAGTATATAATTGGAAATAAGGCAAAACATATGCTGAAATCAAAGGACGTTTAATATTAGAAAACACATGTCTTCATGTCTAATACAGAGAAGTGGTGTTTGTCTTTTTCCTCCTGATGGCCTTGGTGAATTTCAGAAAGCCCTCAAGTGCCCCCCCTTCTCTGCTTTCCTCTTTTTCTTCCTTTTGCCCTTCCCCCACTTCTTTCCATATATATTAAATAACTTTGCCTTAGACTCTGAATTAAGTACTGGAGATGTCAAGATGAATAAGATATTTCTGTGCTTTAAATATAATTAATAGTCTTAGATTCATTTACTAAGGAAATTTCAGAAAGTACCATTTCTCTGAAACTTTGTTTTTAATAAATGTTTGATAGAACACATGAGCAGAGCAGATTCAGAGTGTTTAGTAACTAAATACATTTTTTTGAAAATGTAATTTAGATTCATCTCAATCTTTTTATCTGGTGCATGGCCAATTGTATGAACTTTTATTTTTTGTCATGTAATTTTCATACATTATTCTTAGAGATAAATACCAGTTTTATTTTAACCAGGAAGCCTATCGAATTCTCATCATGGACTTAATAGCATTCATAACGAACTGATAGAATTAATCAGAACGTCTCTATCATACTGCTGAAGTTTTCCTTTTTGTGTCCAGGTATGCCAGGTGGTGCCAATGCCAGCCAATCACCTGCCTGTTGGCAGCACTATGAGCACCGTGCACCTTTCTTCAGATGGTACTTACTTCTATTGGATCTGGTCTCCTGCCAGTCTGAATGAGAAAACACCTAAGGGACATTCTGTCTTCATGGACATTTTTGAACTTGTGGTAAGTTTCGCTTTCTCTCTGCTTTTTTGCAGAGAAATTTCTATTTGCTTTCTTTTTATATTGGTTTACAAAAGACCTGAGAAACTTGGAGGATATACAGTATGTTCACTCTTGCCTCAAAATTGATTTTTGTCTTGGGTATTTTTTGGACGTTGCTTTGTTAGGAGTTATATGACTGAATAAAGCCAAGATTTCTGAAGGTTAATCTGGCAACAGAGTGGTGAGAACAATAAAGTGTAGACACTGGAGTTTTTAAGTAGAAATGCCCATGGGGCTTGTCGGAAACGTGGAACTAAATTGCAGTAGCAGGCTTGGGTCTGTCTATAGGTGTTGGGAGTCCCCAAGGGAGATGACAATTAAAATGTGAGAAGGCATTCACTTATTCATTAGCTGTTAACTGACTGCCAGCTGAGAGCCAGGCAGTCTTGTGTCTAGGTGGTGGGAATTCAGCAATGGGCAAGGTGGACAGGATCCGTGCTCAAATGGAGCTTGTATTCCAGCTGGTCGAGTAGGTTGGCTTGGCGGTCGTGGAAAGACAAAAAAAACTTAACCAGAAACAGCAGATAAGTGGACAACATAATTTTAGGTAGTGAAGGAAAAGCAGTAGTTAAACAAATGAAGAAATTGGGTAGTAGGTTAAGGAAGAACATTCTAGGAAGAGGAGACCACAAGTGCAAAGGCTCAGTGGCAGGAGCGAGCATGCGTGTTTTAGGGAATGACAGTAGGCTGGCACGGCCGAAATGCAGAGGGAAGGAGAGTTGGGAGTAAGAAGAGGCTGGGGGCCATGGCAGTCTAGACCTGACTGTGCAGCGCAGTAGCCTGTAGCCACCTGTGGCTATTTAAACTTAATCAGAATTAAATAAAACAGTCGCTCAGTTGCATTAGCCACATTTCAGTGTGGCTGGCTAGCGTCTATAGTATTGAACAGCGAAGATATAGAACATTTACATCATCAAAGAAAGTAATGTTGGACAGCGCTAGTCTAGATTGTATTTGCAGAGACTTGTAAGGGAAAAAAATTGTCCCAAGCCAGGCCCGTGACAAAACCTGTTTTCATGATGTAATTTACAGCCTGCTTCTGGGAAGAAATTAGCATTCCTGGAAAAAAAAAAAAACTGAAGCAATTTTCTGATAAATTTTAATGGGGTTAAAGCTTGTTCTGGGAAACCTGTCACCCATCCTGCCAGCTGTCAGTCAGGAGTCTAGTAACCTTTAACCGAACGAACTCCCTTTTCTTCTTTTAATCTAATCTCTCAGTATTCTCTGATCATTATTTTTTCTTGTAAAATGTTTCAGCGAGAGACTGTACCACTTAAACGTATATTCATAATTGTCAGAAAAGTTTTTTTGTTTTTAAATAGACTTACTAGCTGGTTAAAAGGATTTTAGGTCTTTAAGAATAATGGGAAAACATGGAATTCCTCT